TCTGGGACAGAGGGGCCAAGGTCTGGAGCCCAAGCTCAGTCCCCCTCCTCCCGCCACTCCTCCCCCCAGCCTCGCCCCTGACCCAGCAGCTCCTACCTTCAGCTTCCTTGCTCTCCTCCTCCTGCCCGCCATCTGCCAGAACAGGACAGGTCAGTCGCGCTCTGGTCGGGGGCTCTGCCCGCCTCGAGCGCTCACTCAGGGGAGCAGGCGCTGAGGGGCGCGGAAGGAGCGGGAGGCGGAACCCCGGCCCAGAGAGACACACAGCAGGGTCGGGCCCGCACACGGGTGCTCTGCCCGCGGAGACGGAGAGCCCTTGCCCAAGGCTGTGAGGGGCCCTGTGCCCACTAAGCCCACTGCACCCTCACCCCAAGCCTTTCACCTTCTACGTTGGTCTCCCCGGCCTCAGCATCAGCCTCTGCCTCTGCCTCAGCCTCCTCAGCTGCCTCCTCCTGCTCTGGGGAAAGAAATCGGACACAGTGAGCATCCAGGCCCCGTGGGCACCAGCAGCCTCAGAACCCGGGGGCGGGGGGGGGGGGTCAGGGGGCGAGGTCAGGGACATCAGGTTCCAGATGTCTCTGGAGGGGTGTGACTGATGTGAACATGGGGGACACCCTGGGGGCTGGTTTTTATTAGAAATCCACAGTGTAGTCCAAGGGCCAAATCTGGCCCTCAGACTATTGCTATAAATAAAGTTTTATTGGAACAGATGGCCTGTGGCATCTCACATGCCTCGGCAGAGGGGGCGTCCCCTGAACCCCAGGCACAGTGGCTGTAGAGCCCACGCGGTTCCATTTGCTGTTTGCCAGAAACCACAGCAGGCTGCAGCAGCAGGCTGGGGAGCCCCGGGGTGCATGGGTGAGGCGACGATGGGGGTCTGCGCTCCCCTGCGGGGAGGGGTGGCATGTGGGGGGCGGGGAAGGCCACGGGTCTCGCTGTGGGGGGCAGGGGCCTACTGGCTCTTTTTGCCGACTGAGCCCCCCTCCTTCCACAGCCTCCCCGGAGACACCTGCCCACCCCAGGGCCCTGTTAAGGGGGGATTCTGGAGCCTCCACCCTGGGCCCCAGGATTCTCGGCCCGACATGTGCACGGAAACCCAGATGCCATGGTGGGGCTGCCAAGTTGTGGCCCAAGAGGCAGACTCCGGGTCCTGGACCCTTGGGGAAGCCCACGGCCCCTCTCGATGGCACAGCCTCGCCCTCTCCTCCTCACCCCTGTCCCCGTATTTCTCTAAATAAAACTATGGTACATCAACAAAATGGAATTTTAAAAAGTGGGAGTGAAGGGTGGAGGCGTGCACTGGCCACAGAGCTCAGCTTCGCAGGACCTGGCTCAGCCTGGGGAGGCGCTCGGATGGACAGACAGACAGACGGACGGACGGACGGACGAACAGTCAGACAGACGGACAGTCGGACAGAAGGACAGACAGAGGGACAGTCAGTCAGACAGCCAGATGGACGGACAGACAGTCAGTTAGACGAACAGACAGTTGGACAGACAGACAGACAGACAGAGGGAATAACAGGACTGTCTGATGCAGAGCGGGGGGTGGGGGGGTGGGGGTGCCCGGCTGGGAGAAGGCAGCTGGGTCCTCCCGGACCCCCAGGGACACAGCAGGGCCCAGCGGACAGGAGCAGCCCCTGGAGTGCGAACGAGGCTCCGCCCCACCCCCCTCTGCTCCCCCACCCCAAGGGGTCCGCGCCTAGGAGGCAGGAAGGGAGTGCCCACAGGGGGGCGCTGTATACCGTCTTCGTCCTCCTGCCATTCCTCCTCTTCCAGACGTGGGCGCAGCGCCAGCAGCCGGGAGAAGCGAGGCCGTTAGTGCGGGTGCAGCAGTAGCGGAGTGAGAGCATCAGGCCCTGGTGGCCGTCCACGGCCAGACGCCCTCCACACCCGACCCACTCCATGCCCGACCCCCTCCATGCCTGGCCCCCTCCATGCCTGACCCCCTCCCTAGCAGGCTGGGACACGTGCTCAGCTGCCGCTTCCGGGCAGCCCGGGACTGGGCCTCGGTGCCTCCTGCAGGTAGCGGAGATGCCGTGACCCCGGGCAGGCGGCGTCTGGCGCGGGCAGGTCCCTGGGGACACAGGCAGCACCAGCCAGCACCACTCGGTTGCTGGACTTGTGAGTGCAGAATCCATGGGTGCAACCCAGTAAGTCACAGGGGTCGGGTGGGAGGAGCTTGGTGCCTGCGTCTCCCCTGACCCCCGCCGGGCCAGGATGACCTCGAGCTGCACCACTCTGGGCCCCAGCGAGGGGAAGGCCGTGCGTGCAGAGACCCCCAAGCGCTGAGCAACCATGCAGGTGTCTGGCTGCCTGCTGACTCCCGGGTCAGAGTGGGCACCCTCCCCCACCACACTCCCTCCTCGCCCCTGCCCTGGATGGGTGGGCATCTCTGATGCCCCAGAAAATGTGCCCAGGTGGCAAGGGGCACATTCTGGAAGCCGCTGGCAGGCTGGCCCTGCACAAACCTGCCAGTCTACCTGAAGGGGTCTGCCCCAGGCAGGGGCGGGGGCGCCTGCCGCTGCCTCCCGGGCATCCACTGCTTCTAGAACAACTTTTCCAGATGCAAAGAGCCACCTGTGGCTGGAGTGATAGTACGGGGGGGAGGGAGCTCGCCTTGCACATGGCTGATGCGAGTTGGGTCCCTGGCATCCCATCTGGTCCCGAAGCACTGCCAGGAGTGTTCCCTGAACACAGAGCCAGGAGAAACCCCTGAACATCGCTGGGTGTGGCCAAAATAAAACAAAAAAATGATAATTTTTAAAAATTGAAAAAATATAGAGCTGCCCAAAGAAAGTGCATGGCCAGCAGTATCACTTTTCTCCCTGAAGAGACATTTGGGGTTCGAGTCCCTGATGGCAGTACTGGGGTTCTAGCCCCCCTTTCAGCCACTTGCTGCCAGTCACTGCCATGCAGGAAGCTGGCACAGTCAGCTCCTTGCGAGCAAGGCTGAGGCCACGCGACCATCACGGCTAAGTTCCTGATTCAATTCACAGCCAAGCCCTGCAGTGGGGAGCAAGCAGAGGCCAGGGGGGCTGGCTCAGCGGCAAAGCACGGAGCTGGCTTGTGTGCAAAAGACCTGGCTTCAAACTTTAGGTGAAAGAAGGAAAGAGGAAGGAAAGAAGGGAGGAAGGAAGGCAGGAAGGCAGGAAGAGAGGAAGGAACGAAGGGAGGGAGGGAGGGAGAGAGAGAGGGAGGGAAGGAGGGAGGGAGGGAGGAAGGAAAGAAGGGAAGAAGGAATGAAGGAAGGAACGAATGAACAAAAGAAGGGAGGAAGGAAGAGAGGGAGGGAGGGAGGGAGGGAGGGAGGGTGGGAGGGAGGGAGGCCGGTCAATTTAAAATGCAGAGGCCAAAGTCTCAAATCTCACACCAAAGCTCTCAGAGCCGAGAGGCTCCCCCCAGCTCCCCCACACCAAGCATATGAGGGAAGACAGGAGGGAGGGACACCGGAGGGAGGAGAGTCATGGGAGGGAGGAGGGTGATGGGAAGGAGGAGGAGGAACACGGGAGGGACATGGGACAGAGGAGTGTGAGGCTGAAGTGGAGCCATGACAGTCTCCACTTTAAGACCGAAACTCAGCAGGCCTAAGTCTCGGTTTCCCCCATCAGAAAGTCCTGGCTGCTCAGAGAACAGTATCACCCTGGGCAGATAAACCGCCCCGTAGCAACACCTATCGGAGTAGGGGGCACGGACAGTGGTGCCCAGCCGCGCAGAGAGGGCCGAGGGAGTGGAGTCACCGGCGGACAGGGACCAAGAATTGAAAACATAGTACTGGTCCCTGAAGTCACAGGACCGGACAAAGTCAAGAATTGGAAACATATTGCCAGTTCCTAGAAAAAATGCTGTCATGTAACCAAACCCTATCTAAACTGCTCAGAATTCGGAGTCAGGGTCCTTGTCAAGACTCCACTGCATTGGATGAGACTTGGACCCTAGCTCGAGCTAGCAATAAAGGGGCCTTGCGTTTGCAGCCTCGCATCTGGTCTGGTCAATGTGCCAGCGAAACTCCCTTCCCAGGACATGACAGAAGGAGGAGGGATATGGGAGAGAGAGAAGAGGAGGAAGGTCATGGGAAGGAAAAGCTTCCTCCTCGGCGCGGCTGACAAGGCCCCAGGTAGGCTGGGGAGAGGTTGATCTAAGTGCCCCTGGGTTTCTCTCCTGTCTCCCCTTCAACCAGACCTCCCTGGCGTGGCCTTAAATGTGCAAGAGGGTCCTCCACTTGCCTGGAAGCCCTGGGGACCGACATGGGCAGCTCCTGAGCTCTGGGCTCGCCCCTGGCCCCTGCACTTCTGGGGATGCCTTTAACAACACCCCCGCACAGCGGTGGCAAAGTCAAGGGTCTGTGGGGCTCGGACCCCGCAACCGCGGTGCAGAGCCTGGGCTGCTGGGGGCCATTAGGGGGCCAGGGCGGAGCCTTGTCAGCGTTGTTTCAGCGAGGAGGGCGGTGGGCGGCACCAGGTCCAAGGCACAGTGAGGGACTCGCTGGTGTAAATGCTCCCATGAGGGCCCTCCCGGCGGTGTCATTAGGAGAGACCTTACGATGAATGTTCCAGGCATGGCTGTGGGGGCTTGGGGCGGGAGATGGGGGCGGGGGCTACATTTTTGAGTCACTTTGTCCTCTAGAGATGCGTGTTGAAGGATTTGGGCCAGACACAGCAGGGCCGAGGTGTGACGGGCCCCGAGTCCCTGACGGACACCTGCGGGGGTGTACTGTCTATCTGGGGGACAGTGACAAGCATGTCCAAGTGCACGGAGTTTTCCTCCAAGTTCCACAAAGCAAGTGATTCACAGGAAAGTTGACGGTTCTGGGGGAGATGGGGCAGATTCAACTTATCAGTTGAAATTGTTTTGCCTCGAGAGCTCGGGCACGGAGGGCAAGAGCCCTGGGGCGGAGGCATGGAGCATCGCGGCGGGAGACAGGCCGCTTCCCAGGGACCCCAGAACAGTGGGCTCCCGGGATGCCTCCGTGGGGCCCTCCCGGCTTCTCACCTCCCGCGGCTGCTTCTGCTCAGAGGAGAAAGGTCAGGACGCAGGAGGGGACAGTTGAGGGTCAGGCTCAGGCTGGACCAGGCTCCTCCCGAGGGCCGCTGCGCAGCGCTTACCTTCCTGCTCCCTGTCGGCCAAAGGACCCGTGTCAAGGCAGCTGTCCACTTGGCCAGCGCATCCCACCCCTGGGGCCCTCCAGGACAGGACAGCAGATGAACCGTCGCAGGCACAGAGCCCATGAGGGCGTGATGACACGGAACGGGGTTGACAGGGCCTCACCGGCCGTGTCGTGGGATACTTGTCAATCTGACTTGCCTGGCTCTTTCCAGAAGAGCAGCCTCTGGCCATCTCCTCCTGGCCTGTCCACCAGCCGGGCCAGCCCTCCCTAAAGCCCCCACCCCCTTGCCCATGCCTGCAGTCTATGCAGGACCCTCAGCCCAAGGGAGAGACAAATTCCTCTACCAGATGCCCCAAACAGTCCGGCCACCGCTGGCCTGGAGCGGGGGGGGGTCAGGCAGGGTGCCCCGTGCTCCCTGATACTCACTCTTCGTACTCCTCCACCACCTCCTCCGCGTCGGACATGGTCGCTTCCCCTCCAGAAAGAGAAGAAAGGCAGTTGTGGGCCCCCTGAGGAAGCTAGAGGCCCAGAAAGGCCCAGGGTAAATGCAGCCCCCGTGTGCCCATGGTGTGCACCTGCTCCCTCCTCGGGGTGCGGCCAACCCCAGCACGGGACCTGCTCATGTCCCTTCAACCCGCCAGGCACACCGCTTGGCATTTCCGGGATCCCACTCAAACATGGACACCTCGGGGAAGGACGCAAGGGGCTGGAGCACATGTCAGCGTTCAGGGTTCCCCAGTACCACGAGGAAAGAGGAAAGGCCCCCAAGCACTCACCTCTGCCCAACGTGCCCTGCAGGGCCACATGGACGCATCATGGCCCGCCCTGTACCACGAGCCAGAAGAAATAAAATAGGATCTCACACCCACGGACACACAATCACACACACATAATCACAAACACACAATCACACACTCAATCATACAAACACACAATCACACACACAAACACAGTCATAGAGACATAACCACACACAAACACACAATCACACACAAATACACAATCACACATAATCACACCTATACAACCACACACAAACACGTACAGATACAGTCACACACAGTCACACAGACATAATCACACACTCAATCACACACACATAATCACACATAAACACACACACAAATACACATATGTAATCACATACAATCACACACATAAACACACACAGAAACAGTCACACACAATCACACGATCATTCATACACAGACAATTCACAGTAACATAGTCTCTCACCATCACACACTTACTCATTCTCACACAGACACACAACCAAACGCAGACACACAGTCAGACACCCGGGGCTGAGCGGGCAGGAGCAGGGCAGGGGCTCGGGACGGGCCTGTTCTCTGACCCCTGTGGCCGGTTTGCTGCAGTGAAGCCCCAATAGACGAAGTTCCCCTGGGAAAGGGGGTGCTCAGGAGAGGCCCTCACTGCAGTGGCTCAGTGGCCAGTGGACCCTCGTCCGTCCTGGGGAAGCTTCCTAAACACCCTCTCCCTGACCCTGGGCCACAGTGGCCATCACCCTCCTCCGGGCTCTTTGCCCGGACCTAAGTGATAACTCAGAAAGCGCAAGGTTCTGGCAGAGCCGGTCACCAGGGAGAAGCCAAGGACAAGCTGGAGCTGCTGCGCTGGTCACTGGCACATCCCCTCCGTGCGTGTGACCCTGGGAGTGTCACCCTCCACCACCCCTGCACCCCTTCCTGTGCCTCTGCCTGAGAAAGCAACAGCTATGAGAACCCGCCTTCCGGCCTCAGCCCCAGGGACACCTTTAGCCCCAGGCCGAGGGCACCCCCAGGAGCTGGGCCACGGGAGGACTCTGTGATCTGCCCTCAGCAGTGGGGGAGCAGGGTCTGCTGGAGGGAACCGGCCCAAAGGAGGCAGAGGAGCCGGAGCCCACCACGGGGAGGGCGCTTGCCTTGCATGCAGCCGACCCTGGAGGTGCTCAGGGAACCTTATGGGATGCTGCGTGCAAGGCAAACACCCTCCCCGCGGCGCCATGGCTCTGGTCCCTTGCACCCCCTGCCTCCCCCTTCTCTCCTCTCTCCTGCCTGCCCTGGTCCTAGTTGGAGCCCCTCCTGGAGTGCGAGGTCAGGGCTGAGAGCCACCAGCCCAGCCAAGCGCTCCAAGAGAAAATGAGGAAGGGAAGGGGACAGGCACCATGGGAGAATCTGCAGGACCCTGCGCCTTCATGCCTACACCCATGCCCCCGGGAGAGTGAAGATGACAGAGGCAGAAAGGCCCCCAGGGAAACTATGTGGGCTTCAAAACCAAATTTTTTTTTTTTTGCTTTTTTGGGTCATGCCCGGCGATGCACAGGGGTTACTCCTGGCTCATGCACTCAGGAATTACTCCTGGTGGTGCTCTGGGGACCATATGGGATGCTGGGAATCGAACCCGGGTTGGCCGGGTGCAAGGCAAATGCCCTACCCTCTGTGCTATTGCTCCAGCCCTCAAAACCAATTTTTGCTGTGCAGTTTTTTTATTTTGGCCCGCTACAGTAGTAGCTCCTGAGAGTTACTCATAGCTCTGTGCTCAGGGGTTCTCCAACATTCCCAGGCTTAGCTGGAGGGACCAGGATTACCCTGTGCAAGGCAAACTCCTCAACCCTGCACTGTCTCTCAGGCCCCTGCAGAATGATCTTCATGAAGTCAACAAACCTCTCTGAGAGACAAGCCTTGGGGTCCGAGCGATAGTACAGCGGGGAAGGCACTTGCCTTACACATGCGGACGACCCAGGTTCTATCCCTGGCATCCCATATGGCCCTCCGAGCACCGCCAGGATTAATTCCTGAGTGCAGAGCCAGGAGTAACCCCTGAACATCACCCATGTGGTCCCTCCCTCCAAATTTAAAAAAATCAAACATTTGAGCCTAAAGTTCCAGGCTTGCACTAACGCTCTGGATTCCTGAGGAATGCAAACCGCACCCCTTGACCCTGGCCCCCCACATTCCCCTGGAGGCTTCCTAAGCCTGCAGCTGCTGGCTGACCAGAAGGGCGGGGGGGGGGGGGGGGGGGGGGGATGCAGGATGGGAGGGAGGGGGCAGTGGGCGCCTCCCAGATTCCTCTTCAGCCCACTGAGACGCAGGTCAGAGGAGGAATTCGGTCAGGTGGTCCCCTGCTGCACACGGCTGGGAATGTGCTTTGAAATTTCTTCCAGTCCACACAGCCTGCTCAGGGAGATTCTCCGTCACCTTCCACAAAGAGTGGGTCAGTCGGGTCTGGGCCATGGGGTGTGGGGACAAGTGGGGATGGAGCCGGTGCTAAAAGACTTAACCCTTTCATACCAGCTGGGCTCAGCCCTGCAAGGATGTGCAGTGGGTGCTCTCTTACCCCAGTGCCCCCAAACTGCTCATCCCATGCCCCCTCCCGAAAGGGGAGTGACGCCAGGTCTGGGAAGGCAGATGAAAGTCGGGGTCCCCTGGGCAAGTGCCCCAGAATGCCTCTGGCCTTTCTCAGGGCTTCCGAGACCACTTCTCAGCGCCTGGAAGAACTTGACCGTGAGGATGGCTGGGACCCCATCTGGAGGCGTTCCTGAGGGGCCTCGGCCTGGAGAGGCCGAAACAAGGGCTCAAGACAGGGCCCAGAAATTGGGGGCCTCCTGCTGCCAGCAGCTCCCCACTTCATTCTCTCAGCATCTCCCGCCGCTGGGCTGGCCTCAAGCCGAGCCTCCAATTTAAATGCGGGGTTCTCGCTGGCATGAGGGGGCGGGGTGGGGGGGGGCCGGGCCCTGGAGCCTTACCGCTGAGACCACCCACATGGACCAAGGAGCTAGTGCCAGGCTGGGGGGTGTCCCCTCTCGGCTCTGTAGCCCCAGCCTTGCCTGATCTTACCTTGGAACAGGACCGAAGACAGGCTGGGGCTGTGCGGTGGCCGCAGGCGGGTGTGTGCGAGGGCAGGACGCTGAGGCTTTAAGCGCCCGAGGCAGCCCCACACGCGCAGGAATGTGTGCAGGAGACTGGGGGGCGGGGCCGTGGGGGGTGGGGGAGGTGTTGGCGGCTATTTTGGCAGGTGCCTGGGACAGAGCCAAAGGAACATGTCCCCCACTCCATATAAGCCCATGAGGCTGTCCAGCTGCTCAGATAAGCTATTTAAAACCGGGACAGATATGCCGGGGACAGAAGGAGCAGTCTGTCACATAAACCAGGTCTCTCTCTTGAGAGCCCCGATAAGCAGGTGCCAGAGCCCTGGGGCGGCCAAGGCAGACTGGGCCTGGGGCTGTGGCTGGGGGCTGGGTGCGGGGCAGGAGGCACTTCCTGAGTGTGCAGGCTGGGGCCCCCCAGGTCCAGGCATACCTGAAGCACCACCTAGCTGGCAGCTGGTAAGGAGAATGACACGGGTGCCAGGAGGGACCCCTCCACCAGCCCCCTCTCACGCTGGGGGCCCCAAGTCATGAGGGGCTAAACCTTGACATGAGGGAGAAGCTTCAGGTGGAGGGATCTAGGCCAGCACCCGGAGCAAGTCTGCTTCAGGGAGGTGTCAACAGAAGCAGGTCAGAGGCAGTCGAGTAATCCCTTGCTCGCCCTGAAACTTTTCAGAGGTTTTCTGGGGGACGCATTCCCTGCAGTGCTTGGGGCTTCCTCCTGGCTCTGTGCTCAGGAATCACTCCTGGCAGGGCTTGGGGGACCAGCTATGATGCCGGGGCTCCCGCTGGGAGCCAAGCAAACACCTTCCACGCTGGATTCTCCGCAGCGCCGTCTCCCCATCCTTTAAGGCCCGTGTTCCCACTCAAGGAAGGTCAACTCTGCCTCGGGACAGCAGCAATGTCTCCAGCAGAATGCAGAATACAATAACACACTAACACTTCCCCTCCTGCTCTCTCTGTCGCCCCCTCCCCCGCTCCCACAACTGCGCTGTCCCTCATCTGAGATGTGGCCTGAGTGCTCACCTCCAACTGAATGTCAGCCACGCGCCAGCATGGCATGAATGTGGAGCCGCAAGTCGGGCTGCCGGCAGCCCCAGCACAGGGAGAGGCAGCGGGGCAGGAGCCTGGGCCCTGGAAGGCGGGAGAGCCACACCATATGCCTCCCAGCTAGTTCCTCGGGGCCCTGACTGGAATCTTCTAGAAATCAGGAATTGCCCCTCTCAATGACTGCTGTTCCTGGGAGCCCAAACGTCTTCAAAAGGCCCAGTACTCGCTTGCAAGGATGCCCAGAAGAGGGGTCCGGGATCCTGAAGCCCCATAGAGCCCCCAGACTCGGCCTGTGCAGGGAGCACCTGGGAGCCAGGGCAGGAAGCAGGGTCAGTGGGAGAGCTGGGAGGGACACACACTCACAACCACACAAACACATTCACACACACTAACACATTTACAAGTATTCACACACTCACAATCACACACACTCATTCATACACAATTGCACCACACACAACCACACACTCACACATTCACATACACTCAAGTCACATTCACACATCACTGTCACTGTTCTCCCGTTGTTCATCGATTTGCTTGAGTGGGCTCAGTAACGTCTCCACTGGAGACGTTTTTGTTACTGTGTTTGGCATATCTAATACATCACGGGTAGCTTGCCACATATTCACATGTATTCACACAATCACAATCATGCACACATTCATACACAATCACACCACACACACACACAACCACACACACACAATCACATTGATAGTCACACCACACATACACACATTCATACAATCACATTCACACTAACACTTCATATTCACCCACACCCACACACTCACCCACACACAAACCCAGGCTTTGGTTGGGGGGCCACACCATGCAGAGCTGAGCCCCCTGCAGTGTCAGGGCCTGAGCCAGAGCCCCAGAGGGGGCCAGTCGTGTGGATATTCAGGGGCAGCAGTGAGGGGGCTTGGGCCGACTCCCCACAACACAGCGTCACACACAGGTCAGGTGAGGAAGAACATGCTGCCGGCAATGTTTGTGAGTCAGCCCCCGCCTGTTACCATGGACAGCTGGGTGGCGCCCACGACAAAGAGGCTGCTAGGAAAACCATCCCCCACTCAGAACCACACGGCCGAGGACCCCAAAGAGCAGGTCTTGGGGCACGAGCGCAGAAGTGGGTCATTCACGGCTCACACCAAGACTGAGGGTTTTATTCGGTTCTTTACTGAGACAGGGTCTTCAGGGAGGAGGTGAGGGGTCCAGGGGGGCAATGATCTTCTGGCCAGGCCCACAGCCGGGGTTCAGAGGGGAGCACTAAGCGGGAGGGGGCCAAAGCCCCTTCAGTCTGGCCCCGAGGCCGGCGAAGGGGCTCTCCGGGCCCCAGCGGGGAGACAGCACGCGTCTGTGGGGGCAGCTGTGGGCAGATTCTTCGACTGGTGGAGGGGGCGGGGGGCTCCCGCAGACGGCGTCTGAGCCCCAGCTGCGTGGGGAAGGCGCGGACAGCAGCCTCGGGGTCCAGGCTGGGCGGTGCTGACACAGGCCAGGTCCCCCAAGACTGCAGAGAAGGCTCAGGGACAGCGTGAGTCGGGTGCCGCTGCAGGGGTCCCGGCTGGCATCAGGGGGTCCCGGCGACATCACAACTGTGTGTCTGCACCCGGATTCTCACACCTGTGGGCAGAGGGCCGTGAGGAGCAGCTCCCCGGGCAGAGGGCAGAGGGGGATGCGCGGGGTCTCTCAGGGAAGGCAGCTCCACCTCCCCAGGAACACCCCCACTCTGCCGGCTGAGGAGGCTCCGCAGCGCGGAGCAGAATGCAGTCAGTCGAGCAGACAGAAGGGTCTGGGGTGGGGGTCCGGGCACCCCTCACCTCTGCGTCCAGCGCGCTCTCTGCCTGCCGTTCCCGCTGGGTCCTCCTGGTGGCCACTAGGTCCTTCTGCAGTTCCTGATGGGGCATCCGGGTGAGCTGGACCTAGGGCCTGGCCCAACACCCCACACCCTCGGCTGCCGGGGGAGCCCAAGCATCTCCAGGCCGCTCCGGTTGTCCCTCCCACCCCCACCCCACCCCCCGCCTCGAGAGGAGTCAGGGTACCTGCGGGTCCTGCTCGGGAGACTCCTGGGACTCCCACAGGCTCAGCTTGGACGTCACGGCCCCCTTGAGCTTCAGGTTCTCCTGGGGAGAGGGGCAGTGTGGGGCCTGTGCGTGTGGCCTGTCCCTGCCACTCCAGTCACCCAGCCAGGTGCCAGGTACGCAGATGTGGAAATTAGCCCCGAGCCAGGAAAGTGACTACGGGTGAAGGCTGGGTACCCCGCCCTGCACCCCCCCGCACCCCAGCCCTCACTCTCAGGCTGGAGACTCGGTCCGCTCGGCTCCCGCTCGCCAGGTCATTCTCAAAGAAGTGGCGCTTGTTGGCCACGTTGGTGGCACTCTTGGGACTGATAAGGAGCTCGGTGCGGAAGGCGCCAGGGGTTTTCACGGATTCTGATCGCTGGGAAGAGACGGGGCACTGAGCAGGATGTGGGGGGTCGGCAGGGCCGGGGGCGCCCCCGCTGCTGTGGCCAGTGGCCGCCCACCTTGATGGCCGAGTGGTATTTCTGCATCCTCTCCTGCATGTTCTCGTTTCTGCCGCCAGTCCCTGGGGTGGCCGAGAGCTTCAGGCTGGCACTGTGGGGTGAGGAGACAGGGTCAGCCGCATGAGACCCCCGCCCTGGATGGTGACCCCCAGCTCACCACCTTCACCTTGTGTCACACCCCCCCGATCTGGGAGTGTTTATCCCCCACAACCCCCACTTCTCAGTCACCCACTCACCTCCCTCTCGGCCACTCTGAGCTCTCTAGGCAGGAACCCAAACAAGTCACATCCCCCCTCTGGGCAAACACCTCGGGCCCAGAGCCAAGGACCAAGTGACCCAGCACCCCCGGCTCTGATGAGCAGACGTCAGTCCCCCAAAACTCCTGCACGTGCTGTGCCAGCCCGATACCTGGGCTTGTCACTTCCTGTCCTTGACTGCAAAAGCCCTTCCCGAAAGGCTGGAGCTACAGCACAGCACGTAGGGCGTTTGCCTTGCACGTGGCCGACCCAGGTTCGATTCCCAGCATCCCATATGGTCCCCCGAGCACCGCCAGGACTAATTCCTGTGTGCAGAGCCAGGAGTAACCCCTGTGCATCGCTGGGTGTGACCCAGAAAAAAAAAAAGCCCTTCCCAAGAGCTGAGAGCTAACGCGCAGGGCAGGAGGCCCGTCCTGCTTCCTTCCTGGCACCCCCAGACGCAGCCCTGGATACCCCTGGGCACAGCCACTGGGGGGCCGGGAGGGGGTGCCTGGATGCCCCCGGGGCAGCACCACATCCTCAGGCTCTTGCACTGAATTTCTGGTAAAACTACCAAGATGGGACTGGAGCGACAGTACGGTGGGTAGAGCATTTCCCATATACCCATTTCCCGGCATGGGTTTGATTCCCTGGCCCCACCATAATGGTCTCTCAAGCCATGCTCAGGAGTGATCCTTGAGCACAGAGACAGGAGCAAGTAGTCCTGAGCACCACTGGGTATGACCCAACCTGCCCCCCTCCTGATTTTTATTAAAATTAAAATCCCATTTCTGGGGCTTCAGAGATAGTTCAACAGAATAGAGCTCACATTTGAAGCCTGGGTTCAAGCCCCAGCACCAAGTATGGAAAGAGCTTGTGAGCACTGCCAGGTGTGGCCCAAAACAAAAAGGGAAAAGGAAGAAGCATTCCTCCAGCTCTCCGTCCAGAAACCGGCCACCAGAGCCCCCTTGGGTCTGCACAGCCCCCAGACCCCCAAATCCCTCACCTCCTGTGCCGCTGGATTTCCTGGCCGGACCCGCTCTCCTGAGAACAGCATCTGGGTCTGTTTCTCAGGGACTCGACCCACCTGCCCTGGGCCCCTCCTGAGCGCAGGGAAACCCCAATACATCAGCACATCGAGGCCTCCTCCAGTTGTTTTGCTAAAAACCCACATGAATGCTGGGATGCTGACCATGGGACTCCCAGGCCTGTCCCCCTTCCTCTGTGCCCCATCCCACCTCCCTCTAAGAGGACCCTCCTCTCCCTCTTTGTCCTCAACACCAGGACTCAACTCTCTTCTCCTTCAGAGCCCGCACCCAAGTCCACCTCCTCCAAGCAGCCCTCCTAATCTCTCTCCTCCAGTGCCTCGTGTTGATCCTGACTCTCTGCCAGATCTAGAGCCCTGGGCAAGAGGCCTTGACCCCAGTGCTCCCCGTGGCCCAGCCTGACACAGGGAGGGGCATCACTCAGCCCACACAGGAGGGAGCCCCCAGCCCCTGACCTGCGGGTTAAGGATGATTCTGCGTTCTTTCTCCGGGGACTCATCTGAAATGAGAGGAAGACACACGTGAGGTGGGGTCCAGGGAGAACTCGCCCTCCTCAGGGAGGACTCCACACCAAGCCTTCTGCAGAGACCCTCCGGGGGCCAAAGATGCCTCCAGTGCCTGGGAAAATGGCCAGGGCCCTGCAGCCCACCTGCTCCTGTCTGGCCAGCACTGCCTGTGGGTCACGCCCAGGGCACCAACGCAGCCAAAGCTGAGACGCTGTGTCAGGGGACCCAGAAGCTAAGTGCAGAGCCTGAAGCGAGGTGCCACACATGCGGTCTGTATCAAGGAACCAAGAGACCCCACTGCTCTGTGCCCCCCACGGCCCCTTCCCCAGCCCAGGACCTTGATGGAAGCTACTGACCCACCCCAACCCCAAGCACATCTTCCTGCAGCTCCGGCCTGTCCCCACTAGGTGGCGCTCTTCAGGCATGCCCACAATCCACTCCCGGTCCCGGACCTGCTGCTTCTAGGACCCCAGCCCTGCTCTTGGCCCCTGGGGGAGTCACTGCCCCCATCCAGAGGACCCTCCTGATATTTTGCCCACGGCCCTGACATAGTCTGCCCTCCAGCAGATGCTGCAAACAATCGCCCTGGGTTCTTACCCGGAAGGAGATGGTGCTAAAACCAGAGCGTTTGAGCTCGGTGCTGGAGGTGGCCTGGGTGGGGGAGGGCATATCCGCCTTGTCCTCTCTGCTGGGGATCTCCACCTGTGGAGCGGGAGGGGAGTCACGGGAGGGACCCCGGGGCCCACCCTGACGCGGGTCCCCTGCAGGTGTCTTCCCCGGCTGGCTGCGGCCCCTCTGCTCTGCAGTGGGCATGGCAGACAGTCCCGTGGGACCAGGCCACCAGCAGAGCATCCGGGGCAGCTTCTGGAAGGATCCAAAAGCTCTCAGAGTCCAGGCCCAGGATGAGGATGGGTCTGGGGGACAGGCAGACCCCTTCATACAGCTGACACACCCACCTTGGTGGCCCCTCGTCAGGAGAGGGAAGAAACTGCCACAGGGAGCCCGAGGGCAGTGAGGGGCTGAGAGCACCAGGCAGGACCAGAGGGGAAGACATAGGCAGAGGGGGCCCGACCACCCGCGGGAGAAGGGGGAGGGAGGCCCTGCCCACCTGGAAGGAAATGGGCGGGAAGCGGGTGGGCGAGGCCTGCTGGCTGGCCGCGACCGGCTCTTCGGGCTTGGCTGAGTAGGGGGGTCTCTTGTCAGGAAGGGTCCTGGCTCCCTGCTCTCCGGGGGCTGATGGGTTTCCCCGGGGGGCTGGCTGCTCCCGGACCTGGAGTCGCTCGGAGCCTGTCCTCCGGAGAGCCAGCCTGGGCAACTCGGACCCCTTCTCGGAGCCCTGCGGCTTCTCGAACATCTGTGCTTTCTCAGACACCACCCTCCTGTCCATGCCTGCTGGCTTTCCTGCGGCCAGAGGCTTCTCGAAGGTACTAGATTTTTCTAGAACCGAGGACTTCTCCCCAGGGACCGGTGGTTTCTCGAAGACACTGGATCTTTCTAGGATGGAGGGCTTCTCCCTTGGGGCCGAAGTTTTCTCAAAGGCACTGGATTTTTCTAGAACTGTGGACTTCTCCCTTGGGGACAAAGGCTTCTCAAAGCCACTGGATCTTTCTAGAACCGAGGACTTCTCCCTTGGGGCTGAAGGCTTCTCGAAGGCACTGGATCTTTCTAGAACTGAGGACTTCTCCCCAGGGCCTGGCGGCTTCTCAAAGGCACTGGATCTTTCTAGAACTGAGGACTTCTCCCCAGAGCCTGGCACCTTCTTGAAGGAACTGGATCTTTCTAGAGCCGAGGACTTCTTCTCAGAGCTGGATCCAGTCTCCTTAGGGGCTGGTGGCCTCTCAAAGATGCTGCATCTTTCTCGAACCGATGGCTTCCTCTCCAGGCCAGGCTTTGGCACCGCTGCCTCTGTTCTCCCTAGCACTGACGTTTTCTCAGCGGCCAGGAACTTTCTGGAGGTGGGGGTCTCCTCGGAGGTCAGTCTCTTTGCCAAGGCCTTCTCCGGAACTGGCTTCTCGGTGTCGGGGGTCTCTGGCGTCAGGGGGGTCTTGTCTGGGACCCCCTTCCTCTCTCTGCCTGGCTCTCCGCCCTCCCGGCCCTCCTCCCGAGCCGAGGGGCTGTGCCTGGCCGGGTTCAGTCTCTCTGGAGGCTGCAGCTCCGCCTCCTTCTGGGGTGCAGGGCGCTGTGGCCGGGCCTCCTCTGCTTCTGGCTGCTCCTGGATGGGGTCCCCAGCGCCCCCCGCCTGCCACCTCTGCCGCCGTTTCCTGAGCAGCGCCTGGACATCCTGCTCCTCGTCCGGGGGGGCGGAGGGCCGGGGCGCCGGCACCTCCTCAGGGCTCTGCAGTCTGAGGCAAAAGACAGGAGATGGGAGGTGGAGTCATGGGGGTCTGTGTGGGGGGCCCTGGGGTGGGCCTGACCCAGGAGAGGCCCCAGAGGTGTGGGGAAGTGGAGACCTGGGCTCCCCAAACCGTGGCTTGAATTAGGGTCACTGTCAGCACCTCACATGCTGGGAACGTCTGAGGCGTTGGCGAACAAAGCCCCCCAATGCCCTGCTCTCTGAAAGGCTCTGAGCCCTGTACCGTCCCATCACGCCATGTTCGCACTTTGGATGTGCCAGGCCCTGTGCTGGCAGTGGAGGGCAAAAGGCATGAAGGCAGCCCCCAGCCCCGACTGCTCAGGTTGAGACCAGAGACAGACAGGGAGTCGCCAAAGGTCACGCAGCTCAGTGTGGAGCAGGGAGCAGAACTGGCAGACGGGGGGGGGGGGGGGGGGGGGGGGGGCGCACATACATGGCTGCTAATAGCTGGGTGCAGCCAGGACACCAGGTGGCGGGGGGAAGGCGGGGGACTGGCCAGCGGGACTAGTGAGGCCCAGGATACCCTGTTCTCTCCCTCTGGGGGATCCGAACAACATCTCACATCTGGCCTCAGCAAAATGAGATTCTCATCCTTCCCCACACCCTCCTGCCTTGCGCTCACAGTCTGTCCCCCTCAAACCCAGACGCAAGCCCTGTCCAGGCATCCACAGCGCACCCAGACCCTCTCTCCCTCCTCCTCCCAACCAGGACTCTAGGCAACAAGGCTAGTCACACCGAAGGGGGACTGGGGGGGGGGGGGGGGGCAGGAGGCAGTGCAATTAAAGAGGAGCAAAGAGCCCCAGGGCACACGGAACCGTGGGCAGGAGGGCAGCTGCCTCGGGTCCAGCGGGGCCCTTCAGCCAGAGCAACAGGACAGCAAGGAGGGCGCTTGCCTTGCACGGGGCCAGCCCGGGTTCCATCCCTGATCCTCACAGCTTGCCAGGAGCAATCCCTGAGCACAGAGTCAGGAGTAAGCCCTGAGCACGGCCAGGCGTGGCCCCCAAAGCAAAGCCAAAACCAAGTGGGGCCCTTTCTGCTTGTCTGCTTAAAGAAGGCAGATTTGGGGGCTGGAGCAATAGCACAGCGGGTAGGGCATTTGCCTTGCACGTGGCCAACCCAGGTTCAAACCCAGCATCCCATATGTTCCCCGGAGCACCGCCATCAGTAATTCCTGAGTGCAGAGCCAGGAGTAACCCCTGCATATTGCTGGGTGTGACCCAAAAAAGCAAAAAAAAAGAAGGCAGATTTCTGGGGGGTACTGTATGTGTGTGTTTTGGTTTTTTTTGTTTTTTGTTTTCTAGAAAGGGGTCAGCAGGCCAAGTGCATCTGGAAATCTCTGGATTAGAGGACACAGCTGTGCCTGACACATAGCCGGGCCCTGATGTCTCTGGGGGGACGAGCCCCACAGTCACCCGCCTTCTCTGACCCAGTTTCTCCATCTATAAAATGGGCTAATGAGACCTCTCTGCCCATGACGGTGTAAGGGCCACCTGCGCCTGCCCATAAAAGCCCAGCCAAGTGCAGGCTCCACAAGCGATGCCCGTGGAGGCGGGGGAGGGGTTTGGGAACTGGACAATACCCACCCTCCTCCTCAGCCTCCTCCCCGGGGTAGGGAGAGACCCGCCCCAGCCCCGCACCTCTCTGTGGCCGGCTGCTCTCCATTTGGGGTGCGCTGGGGACTCGCCTCCTCCGATGTGGAGCTCAGGGCACGACTTCGGCGCCGGCGCTCGCGCTGCTGCTCCTCCTCATCCTCCAGACTCCATTGCCTGGCCAGGCTGGGGGAAGGGAGAGGGTCAGTGTGCCCCAAAAGCACCCACTACCCTGTTCCCAGCCAGCAGCCTGGGAAATGCAGCTGCCCCAGGCTAGGCACAGCGCCCCCTGCAGGCGGCATTTCCTCATCCGCCCTGCGGTGGCCATGGCACCTGGCCACAGATCACGGGGAAATGACAGCACCTTGCCTCAAACTGGGAAAATAATTATCATTGTGCCTGTTCTCTGTATTTGTTTTTTTTAATGCATACACAAGAAAATTTTCCCTTTTAGGGGGCCAGGGAGATAGCGGAAGGCCCATTTTGATCCCTGGTCCCACAGAGTTCCCAGAGGTACCCCCCACCCCAGTATCGAACTGGGTGTAGCCCCTGAGCACAGCTGGGTGTGAGCCCTCCACCCCCCAAAGATTTCCATTTTGAACATGGCCCATTTTTATGTCTATTACATATCTGTTAAATTTTGACTAGAGTTGCAAGAACGGTGGTTAGGCTGGAGTTTCCTGACCTGGACGCCTCTGACATTTTTTTCTTTTTTTTTGTTGTTGTTGTTGTTTGAAGTGGGGAGGGGGCCAAGCCATGCTCAGGGGACACAGCATCCACTCCTGGGGCCCTCAGACCCACCCCGGGACTCTCAAGAGGCCACCAAGGCCACACCCAGTGAGCCCTGGAGGGCCACAAGGTACTGGGGACCAAACCCTGTGTTCTGAGCTACTCCCTGGCTGCTGGACAGTCCCAGAGGAACAGCAAAGCTGGGATGCGGCCACAGCTACAGTACAGCAGGGAAGGCATCTGCCTTGTAATTGGCCAGTTTGGGTTCAATCCCTGATGTCCTATATGGTCCCCTGAGCACTGCCAGGAGTGATCCTTGAGCACTGCTTGTGTGAGGAAGGATGGAAGAAAGAGAGGGAGGGAGGGAGGGAGGGAGGGAGGGAAGGAGGGAAGAAAGGAAGGAAGGAGGGAGGGAGAGAGGGAGGAGGGAGGGAGGGAATAGGGGGCAAGGGGGAGGGAAGGGGGGAGAGTGAGAGAGAGAGGAGAGAGAGAGACAGAGAAGAGAGAGCGAGCGAGAGACAGAGAAGAGAGAGAGAGAGAGAAAAAGAGAGAGAGAAGAGAGAGACAGAGAGCGCTAGCTTTTTGGGGCAGGGCACGGGAGTAGAACCAGCCCAGAGAGGCAAAGGCTCAGGCTTCCCTCAGACCCACAGTGGAACTGGGGGAGTTGGAATATGGGGTGGGGGCAGGTTCAGCCCCATGTATGAGTCGATCTTGAGCACATTTCTCTTGCAGGGATTTCCCAAGACTCTGCCTCAGCAGACAAGCATAGAAACTTTCTGGGTTCCTCTTCACCACTGGGCCCATCCACTTTCAGGAACAGACCCAGCAGCCAGAGCAGATGTGCGGGAGCGCCCAGCGCCAGCTCCCCGATTCCCGGTCCCCTGAGCTTCCTGTCTGAGGCTGTGCACACGGGGCCGGGAGTGAGGGCCCTGCTTCCCCTCTCTGCTCTGGCTACAAGCCAACGGGCACACTGGCAGCCAGTTGCCCCCCCACCCATGCCATCCTGGCACCTGCCAGTCTAAACCCCATCTGTAATACACGGCACCACCCCAGACCAGCCCCCACCCAGACCGACTCCCCCGCTCCCCAGCAGCCGCCCTTCCTGTCCAAGGCCAGCGTCCATTCTGGAGAGCTGGTGTGATGGGCCGGAGCCTCGGAGACCCCAACCCCACCAGCAAGAAATGGACTCGGCCCCAGCCACCCCTCCAAAGCGTCCCAAGTCCCTCTGAGACCAGAGTGCCACCAACCACGTGGCACCAAAGTGCCTAACATGTTTCTTAGGATGAGAGAGGCAGACACAGGCTGAGATTCCCAGGGCCAGTAGGGCAGAGCAGGGCTTGGAGGGGGTTCCCGGGGAAGCCCAGAGCTGGCCAGGGTCCTGCTGGGGAGCAGGACTTCAGAGGAAGGGAGAGCTGCAGGGAGGGGCTCTGCTCTGCCCAGGCAGGGGGAGTCTCCCTGGGCCGTCCTGGGTGGCCCCAGTCCTCCTCTCGGGGCTTCTCTCGATTCCCCGGCCTCCTTGGGTTGCCCTGGGCCACTCTGGGCCATGCTCTGGCTATCCCGGGCGCAGAGTCTAAGAAAGGTCCCCTGCGCCCTCCTGTCACCTCCACAGGGACAGAGCTGCTCCCGGCTGTCCTCGGGGTCCCGCCTCCCACGGCAGCGCCATGAGGGGAGCCCGATCAGCAGCACGTGTGTCTCCGGGAGAAACGATCCACGCCAACCCCCAGATCCTCTCAGGCAAACCGCCCTGGGGCCAGCCCTCGGGCTCTCCTGGACAGAGGGGCCCAGTCTGCCAGCTTCACCCGCCAGGATTCCAGTCCTACCCGCGCACACGTAGAGACTTCCCCTCCCTCAAGTGGCCTCCTAAGGCAGGGACAGGGCGACGGGAAGGCCACGAGAGAGCCACCGGGAGGCCGAGGCAGCCCACGCAGGCTCCCAGTGTGACACTCGGCAGCAGGCCGGGGACCCGACACACGTGCTCTCCCAGTGTTCTGACCCTGAACCACTGGAGTAACTCGGGCGGCAGCGTGACCTGCTGTGTCCTGGCCGGGGCACCAGACCACCAGGGGGAAGGGATGAAGACAAGGGGCAAGGCAGAGGCAATGCCGAAGAGGGGGGCGCCCTGAGGAAGGGTCCAGGTGCCCTGGAAACAGGCAAGACCCCAAGGGTGCACTCATACACACACATACACACATATACATAAACACACTCACACAGGTGTACATACACACGCCTACATATTCATGCACATACACACTCACGATGGAGACCTTACTGGGCCCGCTCGAGCAAATCAATGAACAAAGGGAGGACGGTGCTACAGTGCTGCACACTCACACATATACACTCAGACATGCACACACAGACACTCACACATATAACACATATATACATACACTCATTCACACACATGTTCACATACAGTCACACACACAAGCACAAACACGCAACATATTCATATACATACACAGATGCCCTACTCTCATATACACACACACTTACGTACACATATTCACACACAAACATACACTCATTCACACATTCAATATACACATACATTCTACACAGGCTCACACACATACATACATACACACGCACCTGCTTGTTACCGGAGAGGAAGCTGGGAGACCGCAGTTGATGCGGGCGTGTCTCCCCTGAACTGAGGCCAGAGGTCTCCTGCAAAGGGCAGCGCCCTTCTCCAGAGGCTTGGGGTACCGCCAGAACATAAAAGCTGAGTGGACTGAGTGTCTACCCCACACCCCCCCCCCCCCCACACACACACACTCCCTCCCCTAGGCAAGAAGCTGCCTTTGGAAGGGATTCTTCCAGAACCACTCAGCTCTGACCCATCACGCCAGCTCTAGAGGAAAGCGTGGATTCCAACTCGGGGCCAGAGCAGGTTCCCTGCCAGGCCTCGTGACCTGGACCACCCATAACCTTGACCCTAGATGACCACAAGCAGAGTTGCAAACTGGCCGTTCCTCATTCACTGACCAGCTGAGGGGCTGTGAGGGGCTGGTAGGGAGCCCCCTCCTCAGCCTCTGGCACTCTGAAACGCACATTTCAGAGAGCAGCAGGCCTTTCACGGGGCCTTCCCTCCTTCCCCGAATGCACAGCCCTGAGGAGTGATCTGGGAGGCTCCGCTCCCTCCCGACCACACCCAGGGCGGGCAAGGCCTGGAGGATTCCTGGGTCCTGAGCCACCCCATTCCCACAGCACCCTGTTTGTTTATCCTCCATATAAGGTGTGATCAGCAGGGGGGAATGACTCACTCCCCAGCCAGCCCCAGGGGTCTACAAAGAAGGTGGGATTCCCGAGTGTCCGCCAGCTTCACACGAAAACCTCGCTGCCCCCCAGAAGGCATGGTCACCCCCCAGAAATCATGGGGCTGCCTGCCTCACCCCGACATCCCACAACCCTGGAAACAGAAGCTGAGTTGGCACCAACCACCTGGGAGGGAAAATGTTCTCTCAGAAAGCCTCAGTCCCCGAGGAGGAAATGGATGGGCTGGGAAGACAGGGGCAAAGGTCAGTCTTGGGGTGGGGGGAGCCGTGGAGGGTGCAATCATGGGAGCCCCAATAATAAATGCTCGTGAAAGCCTTGGGATGTGCACAACTTTGTTGAACTTTGTGAATAATAAGGAAATCAAGGCAGGAAGGAACATTGCAGAGTCAGCCAGGCAAATCCACCAACTTCAAACCTCAGGCCGAGCCAGGGCTGTTCCCATTCTGCAGATAAGCAAGCTGAGGGTCATGGGGGAGGTGGAATGGGGGCAGAATGACTTTCCCAAGAGAGCACAGCTAAGAGAAAGAAGGAATCCATCTTCCAACTCTGCCACAACACCCCTTAACCCCAGCCCAAGCCCAGAACACAGGTCCTGGGGGTCGCTGGGAAGGGAGGGAGGTGGTGTAGGTTGGGCTGGTCTCCGCAGCAGCAGAATGTTCGGCGCAAGGAAGCTGGAGGTGTCACCAAGCAAGAAACCACCAGCTGATGCCACCCCTGCCCACGTGCCCAAATTCCCTCCCCCTCGCCCCCTCCCCCACCTTCTGGCCTTCCCAGCGGCCCTCTGCCCAGAGAGATGCTCTTCTCCGACCTTGAACCTGTTCCCTTTGAATGATTCAAGGTGGCGTTCTTGGACCTCCCTACACCCGCAGCCAGGCACAGGTCCTGCATAGGTCCACACCCGCAGTTAGAACCAACGGGTAGGCTAGTGGTTCCCAACGCTTCTACACCTGCAGACCAGCTCAGGTCCATCAGCTGCAAATTGAAGTCTGCTGTTCTATAAGGCTCTCTAACCCCTCACGTTGGTCTCCCACATTGGGGTCCTTTCCCCAGCGTCCACCGCCTCTCCAGCAGCACCTGAGAACAGGGAAGCACATCTTTGGTTTGTTTGGGGGGGTCACTCTTGCTGGGGCTCAGGGCTTACTCCTGGCTCTGCATGCACACCTGGAGGGCTTGGGGAACCAGAGGTGGTACTGGGAACCGAGCTGTGGTCAGCTGTGTGCAAGGCAAACGCCCTGCCCCCTGTGCCAACTCTCCAGCCCCTTGGGGAGCATCACTCTAGGCTCCATTTACTCGAGGTGAACTGCAAATATGAATGACCCACCAAGGCCCAACAGCTCTGGGGAGAGTCTAGCAGGGGGTGATAGGATGAAGTCTGCTCTAGAAGCATTTGTAGGGGCTCTGGATTCAAGGAGAGGGGTCTGCAGGCTTCTCTAGGAAGCCTGACCAGCTCTGGGCAAGGAGATGGGATTTACTCCAAGCGGCCCTGTGGCTGTCCATTGCCCCCAAGCCAGGCAGGCCACTGCACTGCACTATGAGGGGTCACCGTGGGGGGCCACTGAAGCCTCTTCTAGATAGTCTAGATCTCTAGGGAGAAAAGTCAGGGCAGAGGGGAGGGCAGCAGGCCGCTGCAAGGCCCTGGCAGGGAAATGATTAACCTCTGCCCCTTGGTGCCAGGCGCTCACCTCCTGCAGACGGCCCAGCCCAGGGAGGAAAGGACAAGGCCACAGCCCGGGCACCCGCCGCCTGCCGGCCCGCTGCTCACCACCTCCATCCACAACCGGAGCATCCAAGCTCCTGCCCCTACCAAGGACGGGCTGCGGGCTGGGCTCGTCCCCACGGTAGGGGCCCAGGAGACTGAGTGACAGCGAGTGAGTGACTCACGAGCACCCCTGGGCCCTGTCCCCCTGGGGGAAGAGCCGGAGCAGTGGGTCCTGGGCTCCAGGTGCCCCATCAGGGTGAGAGGCAGCATCTGGGTGCAGCTCCGGGAGGGCTGCCTTGCTGAAGGACTGGTTCCCCGGACGCCCCGTGGGAACGCGGGTCCCACCCCTGCAGCCACATGAGACCACGTCCGTCTGAGCGCGCCGGTCTGGCGGGTTCCGGGCCCGGCCGCCCCCCCCACCCCCCCTCCCCCCAGTGCTTACGCCCTCTGCGGAACCAGCGGGTCTGACTGGCATTTCAGCCTAAACACACACAGTCCTGGGGTCTTCCGGACATGCTCAGACTCAACAGTAGGGATGCAGAATGCCCAGCTCAGAAACAGACGCCCCCCCACAACCCCTCCAGCTGACACCCCTGCCAGCCGGCCTCTTACTATGTAAATGAGCACCCCCCACAGGCCCACCATAATCCACAGAGTGCCAGAGCTGGGGCAGAGACACCCCCACACCCCGAGTCCGAGGCCTTGAACCCCAGCCCCACCCAAGCACACCCTCCCCTGCAGCACGCCCCACCCCAGGCGGCCAGATTCTGCTCTGCGACACCCCAATCCCTCCTCACTTTCTCTTCTCCGTGGGCTTCAAAGCGGGGAGTGACCCCCACAACTGCGCTGCAGAGAAGTGTGAAGTCTGGAGGGTCTGACAGCTGGACCCCCAGCCCTGGGGAGGGAGCAATCAGGGGTAGAGGAAGCCATTGGGAGGAGAGCCCCACACCCTCAAGCCTGGGGAAGGCAGGACAGAGGACTGTGAGGGTCCACGGTGCCCCTCCATCCCAGCACCCTTCCCGGCCAGAGAGCCCCCCTGCTCCCCCACCCCTGAGGAGTGAAAGCAGAGGACTCAGAGGACACTGGGCTCATTCTGTAAGATGAGAGTGCCCCCAGCCCAGCTTCTCCGCCGAGCCAGGACAGCTAGCCGGGCCCCAGCCCTTTTATGGGACAAGAATGAAGCACAGAGAAGCTGAGCAGCCCATGGGGGGACCTGGCCCAGACCCACCCCAAAAGGTCACACCCACACCACAACCCCTTCCCTCAATGCTATGATGTCCACTCCTGCCAAGGAGGCCGCCCCCTGCCCAGGCGCCCTGGCGTCCACTCTCCTCTGGGCAGGGGGGGTACCGGGGCCGCTCTTCAGACTGGGCACCCTGCGCGTGACCTCAGTGCCCGAGGGTGGGAGAGAAGGTTAGAAGGAGTCAGGCCACCAACCTGGTCAGCTGGACTCCAATTCCGTCCCGTCCCCCTCCCCTCCCCCTTAACACCCGCACCCAGGAGCGGCCAGCAGCGGACTTCCGCGGCCGCCCCTGGAACCCGGAGGCGCGGAGAGGGGCGCGCGGGGGGCCGCAGCTCGGGGTCGCTCACCTGGACAGCGCCGACCAGTCCTTCCTGGCCACGGACATGCTGGAGCCGCGGCCGCGTGCCTGGCGCTGTGCGGGCGCCGCTCACCTGCGCCCCGCCCGGGCCGGCCCAGGTAGGTCACGTGGTGCTTAAATCGCCCCGCGCGCCCCGCGCTCCCATTTGCCGGCCGCGGGGCGGCCTCGGGGCGGGGGGGGCGCGGGGCGGGGGCGGCCCCGGCGAGGCCGCGCCGATCTCCGCCCCGGCGGGCCGGGCCGGCGGGAGGCCCCGAGCGACGGACGCGCGGGGCTGCGGGCTGCCCGCGGCCAGGGCGGGACACTTCCTGCTCAGAACCTGTCGGACCAGCTGCGCGCTCGGCCGCCTCCTCGCGCAGGTGTCGCGGCCCCCGGAGCCGGGGCGGGGCTCCCCGCAGACGGCCGGCCCGGGGAGCTCCGGGTCGCTAACGCCCGCTCAGCCCCCCGGAGGACCCCGGGGCTGCACGCCGGGCCGGAAGGGGAGAAGGAAATGCCGTATTCTCGGGTCTAGAGCACAGCACGCCTCCCGGGCAGCTCGCGGGGTGGGGAGCGGGGCGCGCCCTCTCTCCGCACCGCCCCCACCCCTCCAAAACACACCTCCTAGCTTCGGAACCTCCCCGGCCCACCACCCGGAGTGCGTTCCCAAGGGAAAACTCTGCAGTGCTCTCCGAGCTTCAGACAAACTACAAAACTAGTCCCTGCAGGGGCTCCTGCAGTGCGCACAGCTGGAGTGAGGTGGAGAGGGGCTGGCGGCTGCGCCGAGGGCAGAGGCAGCCCAGCTGTCTCCAGGAGGGAAAGACCACCCGGGCGAGCACCGGTCGCTAGAATTGCAATCCCCTGGGTCTGGAATTGCAATTCTGGCTTCCTTTCAGGGCCCATATGGGCCCGGAGTGTGGCAGGTGCCTCTCATCCAGCCCCAAATGGGCGGCGGGATGGGCCGATGCTGAGCCAGGGGAATCTTATCTACCCTGGTGGACCAGAACTGCCAGCTCAGCTGCCGCAGCTCTTTCTGCTTATAGGAGGTGTGGCACCAACCTGCCCTCCGCTGCCCGGGAGCCCTGCCAGCACCTGCTCCACTGCGCCAGCCCCCCTCCCTTTGGCCCTGGGGGAAGGAAGGGGGTCTCGCCATGCTCTCCAGCTGTGAGGTCTCACAGCAAAACAGCAGAAGAAACTAAAAGGAGCCTAAAACACACACCTCTGCACACACATGCACACGCACGTGTGTGGTTTCTCCTGCCCCAAAGTCCTCTTTCTCCAAGGAAACTCCCTTCCTTGCAGAGGAAGTGAGCAGTGAGGTTCAAGGAGAGTGCTGGAGGGGAGCTTAAAGTTCCCCCCCATGGCCTTCTCTGATCAGATGACTTGGGGCAAGTCCCGTTTCCTCTACAGAGTAAGTAAAGTTGGGAGACCTACTCAGCTTCCTGCCAGGCCCCCTATATTAAATGAAATTATTGTAGGGTGTGGAGCTACGTGGGGGCTGACCCCCAAGTTCTCAGCAGAGGCCTGGACAGGCCCTGAGCTGGTTGCGCCTGCTAGGGCAAGAGAAAGAGGGGAGGAAAGCATCCCAGAGTCTGGCTCTGAGACCCAGGGCTGGCCATGCCTGGGGTGCCTGCTGTCCCCCTGGGGATCTGGGGACTCTTCAGGAAACCTGAGAACAGTGAGTTCACTAAAATTTTCTTGAATTCAACCATGAACATCCCGGTATTAAAAGAAAAAAAATCAGCAATAGAAAATAAATTATCTAATGATGTCATTTTGGCAGGTCTGAATGTTGGGGAAAATTCCAAATAATAATGTTGGGTCTTCTGTCATAATATTGAATGTGATCAACAGAGAGAGAGAGAGAGAGAGTAAAGTGGAAATCTGCCACACAGGCGAGGGAGGGGGGGGTGGGGGGTATACTGGGGTTCTTGGTGGTGGAGAATGTGCACTGATGAAGGGACAGGTGTTTGATCATTGTATGACCGACGAGACTTAACTGAAAGGCTTTGTGACTGTTCTCACGGTGATTCAATAAATAAAAAATAAATTTAAAAGTTTTTTAAAAAGGGTTAGGGACCAAGAGATGGCACAGCAAGTAGGGCACTTGCCTTCCACATATCTGACCTGGGTTCCAACCCAGCATCCCATAATGGTCCCTCAGCCCCCGCCAGAGCCAAGAGTCATCCCTGAGCACCGCCGGGTGTGACCCCAAACCAAACCAACCCAAACAAAGAAGGATTTGATCGGAAGGCTGTCAGCAAACAACTCTGAAAAGTGAGGGAAATATATGACACAATGTGTGGGGGCAGGGCGGGGTGAGCCACAGGACACATCCAGGTGCTTCAGAGTTCGGGAGCTCATCCCTGTGCCAGCCCTGCGTTACATCAGCATCCACGCGCTGCTCTCCTGGGGCTGCCGTAACTCGGTGCCACAGATCGGGTGGCTTAAATCCACAGGAACTTCCTATCTCGTGGTCCAGAGACCAGAAAGCTAAGTTGTCACTGAACTCTGCTCCTTCCCGTGTGCCCCTTCCAAAGCCTCCAAGAAGACTCCTCGGCCCTCGAGTCCAGCCCCAGTGCTGACTCTGTCCTTGTTCTGATTTCCATCTCCTTGGCCTGTGGAATGCTCCTGCGGTTTCCTCCAAACTTCACTCTTCCTGCAAAGACATCTGCCATTGATGGCCCCCGCCCAACAGGGCTTCCCTGGAGCTTGATTCCCTCTGAATACATCTTTTGCGAGGACATACGTATGATTCCTATCCCAGCAATTGGTGTTGCCATGCAGTGACACAAAGATAGGCAAAAACTTGTTCCTAATCCCAGAACCGCCACCTCAACCATGGAAGCTCACACACACAGAGATGTTCATTCACACACATTCCCTCACAATTGAATCTGTGTTATCTGCAGGGACCAGGTATAACGTGGCAAGAGGGGGGAGAGTCTGCAGGAGGAGAAAACATCAGGGTCAGGCCTGAAAGGTTAAGGAGACAGCACAGAGAAGAGGCCCAGTAGAGTCTGGGCCTGTGTCCTAAGGTCCTCTGACACCAACACAGGCTGAGCCAGAAGTTACATCTTATAGGCAGGAAAGATAACACATGATCTCGTCGGTCATACAATGATCAGACACCCCAGGGCTTTGGAAAAATCAGCTCTGCAGGCGTAGTGACCAGAGGTCAGGCTGGGATTGGGGGGGGGGGGGGAAGGGATGGCTGATAATCCAGAGATGAAGGCCAGTGAGCAAGGATAGCTGAGAGGGACCAAGAGAGGGTGTTGGCTAGAGCCTTTCAAGACCAAAGTGTCTGGGCAGAGTCGATGGATTCCAAGTGCAGAAGGGGAGAACTCAGCTCCCTTGCTTAGGGCTGAAGCTGGCAGGTGCCCTGCAGGAGAAAGGGCTTTGCGGAGGGAATCTGAGGTACCTTTGGACCAGCAAGGTGCCCCAACCCTGGCATCGGAGATGGGATGTCTAATGGCACCTCCAGGAGTCTCGGTACTGTAAGAGGATCCACAGCTCCCCGGCCTTGCTCATGGCTGTTGGGTCTCAGAGGAAACTGGAGGAAGCCAGTGACACTGGTCAATAGATCAGAGATTCTCAAACCCTGGAGAAATGTCTCACAGACTACAGAAATTAACCAAAAAAAAAAAAAAAAGGAAACTGTGATAAGCAATGATAATATTTGCATCTTAATGTTTATAATAGCTCTTCTACATGATCCAGGCAGGCCCAGTATGAAGCAATAACTGTTGTACACCAGCCAGAAATTTTTCAGACACACAGTGGTCCACAAACCAGGCATTTGAACACCACTATTATAACTGGACGTTGGGCTGAGCAGGAGACGATTTTGACTGGTGTTTCCCCAGCACTCCAGGGTGAACTGCAGAACAAGCTGGAGAAATTCCTGAGGATCAGGGCAGGGGGTGCTGTGTTCTAGGTATCTGCCCCCATGTCCTGCTCCCCAAGTGTCCCATGGATGTTTTGAGAAGAGAAAGAGCATCTTCCGGACACCCACCCAAGTGTCCGGAAATACTGGTCATGCTCAGTGTTTGAGAAACCTTCAGAGAGTCACACAAATTTGCTTGGGAAAAAAAAACAGGAAGGAGCCAGAGAAACAGCACACAGCGAAGGCACCCGCCTTGCATGCGGTCAACTTGAGTTTGACCCCTGCATCCCATATGGTCCCCTGAGCACCACCAGGAATGATCCCTGAGCACAGAGCCAGGAGTCAGCCCTGACCACTGCCAAGTGTGCCCCCCCAAAAAAAATAAGAAGGAAAAGAAAAAAGAAAAGAACAAAAAGTCCAAATTGCTGAAGGACTTTGGCAAGTCATACACAGTGGGGAAAGAAGAACAGGTCCCTGGAGAGACAAGCACCTAGAACCTTTGACTGCCAGAAACTGGCAAAACCTGATGTAGGAGATCGAGAGCAAAGAAGCTGAGCCAAATCGAGGCCATCACCCCAGGAGAGGAAATCTCCAACATGCTCAAGAGAGCGGGCCCGGAGTCCTCTGAGCAACAGCGCTCCATGTAGCAAATATCTGGAAAGCACCCAAATGTCTGTCACAGGAAGGTGGACACGTGAGTGATGTCCTCTTTGGTCTCTGTCCCACAGCAGTGCGGGGAACTCGGGTTAACTGAAGCCACGGCTGGACTGCTCGGCCTTGACCTCGAACGGGAATGAGCAGAAAGAATGTTTCACATTCTCGGAGAACTAGACCCAGAATGGAGACTCCAGCATGCTTCTGGGGGAGGGAGAGGCCAGGGCTGGGGCTGGGCACCGGGGCTTTCATGTGACACCCTTACTGCCAAATGGTGGCTTGGTGCGTGGCTGATGCTTTGCTGAATCTTGTTGCGTTTTATCTGTTAGTTTGTTGGTTTGGGGGCCGCTGCCAGTGGTGCTCAGGGCTCACTCCCGGCTCTGCACTCAGGGCTCACTCCCACAGAGTTGGGGTCCAGGGGCGAATGGCCTGCCAGGGATTCCATCATTCAGCCACATGCAAGGCAAGCGCCCTACCCCCCGTGCTAACTCTCAGGTTCCTTTGCTGAGTCTGT